AGTCACCGTCGAGATTATGTCAGAGTATGCTGTTGGATTGGAAGATGGGTAAGGTGCTGAGAGATTGGGTTGTATGTGAGGTGCTGTGGGCTGAAGACATTGGTATTGGGATGATATAAAGGATGTGGGCTGTGAAAAGGTTGTGGGCTGGGTAGTTGTATATGGGGGTTGAGTTAGAACAGGCCTAAATAATGGGCTGGGATTGTTTGGAAAGGGGTTGGGAAAAGAAGTATGATACACGTGGCTTTGGTTTGGAGAGAATTGATTATCTTTGCCAACATTTGTTTGAAAATGGGGAGGTTTATATGGCCAGGTTGTATCATCTAAAATGGGAAAAAATTCATTTTTGGTCCGTTAACTTGTCCACTGTCCAGTTTTGGTCCACTATTTTGTCCCTCATCAAAATTGGTCCATTATGTTGCACTTTTCATCACTTTTGGTACATTAATCCCGTGGGCCGGGATTAGGAGATGACGTGGACGGATATTCGAACTACGTGGAGTGATTGAATTTTGACGGGAAGAATAACAACCTGATCTTTGTTACGTGGCATTTTAACATGAAAACCTCATCTTTTTTTATATATAATTTTTAATTTTTCAAAAATCGTATTTAAAAAACGTAAAACACTACTGAAATCGTGGAATTGAAGTTTCAAAAACCGAAACCCTCATTTCAGAATCCCTAAATTCAAAATCGAAAATCCCTAAATTAAAAATCGAAAATCCCTAATTTTTTTCCTGAAACCTCCAATTTCTAAATGAAGCGAGGACGCCCAAAATCCAAACCTGCGACTAAAATGCCACCAGGAGATGAAGATTTGGGAGTGTTTCAGAAGATTGTTCTTGGAATCGATGTTCCTACCTGCAAGATGAAGTTGCGAGCAAAAGAAACTGAACATATACCCCCTCCTATATACGGTAATTTTTATTAGTTTTTTCAGAATTAAAGTTAAAGTTTTTTAAAATTAGGGTTTAGTTGAAGTGAAATTCCCAAATTAGGGTTTAATTTGTGAAATTAGGGTTTACATTTGGTACAATTTAGGGTTTTTATGTGGTCCCTGTTTTTGAGAATGTTGCACTCATTTTTACATTTTTGTTTGGTTGTCCCTCTGCTGAAAAATATTTATTTCTTTATTTGCAGCCGTGAAGAGTACTTTTCTTACTCTTGGTCTTCATTATGGGGGCATTTTCAACATTCAGCCAAATTTCTCAGCATACATTGGAGGTGAGAGTGTTGTTCTAGATTATGTTGATTTTGGGGAAGTTGGCCTTGATGATTTTCTTAGTGTTGCAGAGAGGGGAGGGGTTAAAAAGCCCATGAGGTTTTATGTCAGAACAGGTGGTTGCTTTGTTTTATTAAATGATAACATGGATTTGTACAGTATTTGGGATGAGAGAGTAGGTCTTTTTAGGGAGATTCATATTTATGTGGATGAGATGAAAGATCAATGTGGAGATTCAGTAGTCAATGATAAAGATAGAGATGGAGTAGGAGATGGTGTGGTTGGTGAAAATGATTGTGGAGTAGGAGATAGAATGGTTGGTGAAAATGATGGTGGGGTTCTTCATTGTGAAGAAGAGAATGGTGAAAATGAGGATGATGATGTGAATGGTGAGGAAGATGATGATAGTGATGAGTTGTATGATTCAGAGTATGACATGAGGGAAGATAGAATAGATGATAGGTTGTTTTCTGAAAATGTTGATACTGAAGCTGAGTGGGGAGGGAGTGATTCTGTGTTTGAAGCTGTGGACAATTATGTTGCTGATGATAGTGATGTTGAAGCAGATGTGGTTAACAGGGAAAATTTAGATGGTATGAACATCTCTGATGAGGAAGGTAGTAATTGTGAACCAGAGTTTCCTACTTTTAATCCAATGGAGTTGTATGATCCAACCTTTAAAGTGGGAATGGTGTTTACTTCAAAAAAAGAACTGAGGATAGCTGTTCATTCTAGAGCAATAAAGTGCAAGAGAAATGTTAAAATTGTGAAGAATGATAAGCAGTATCTAAGGGCAAAATGTGTTGATAATTTGTGCCCTTGGAAAATTCATGCAGTCAAGCTTGTAGGGGAGCCAACATTTCAGATCATTAAGTACATTCATAGACACACTTGTGCAGGCACAGGGAATGTTAAAAATTTAAATTCTACTTGGTTGGCAGGGAAGTATGCCTCTGAATGGCAAGATGATCCTACAAGAAAGGTTAATGGTTTTAGGAGAACTGCAGCCAGAGAGCTTAGAGTGCATATCTCGAAACAACAAGCATATAGATGCAAGTTGAAAGCTATTGCAGATCAGAAGGGAGAACCCCATTTTCAGTATGCATTATTGTGGGACTACTGTGAGGAAATAAGAAAAACAAATCCGGGAAGTACTGTAGTCTTAGATATTAACCAGTGCAATGGTGACAACAAATTTTGAGAGGTTTACCTATGTCTAAATGCACTAAAACAAGGATTTAAGGCTGGTTGTAGACCCTTGGTAGGTGTGGATGGTTGCCATTTAAAAGGGCCTAATAAAGGTATATTGCTTACTGCTGTGGGCATTGATCCTAATAATGCTCTTTTTCCCTTGGCATATGCAGTTGTTAATGTGGAGAATACAGATAACTGGGAGTGGTTTTTGATATTGCTTAAGAATGATTTGGAAATCAAGAATCAGCATGAGTGGACATTTATGTCTGATAAGAAGAAAGGATTAATACAAGCATTCCAGAACATTTTACCTGAATGTGATCATCGATTTTGTGTTAGACATTTGATTGGGAATTTCAGAAATGCAGGCTTCAGAGGATTAGCATTGAAAAATGCTGTATGGAGGTGTGCCACAGCCACAACAATAAATGATTTCAGTAGGAAAATGCAGTATCTAAAGGATTTGAGTGAGGAGGGTTACAAGTGGTTGGCTGGTAAACCACCCACTGAATGGAGTAGGTCTCACTTCAGAAAATTCCCAAGGTGTGATATCCTACTCAATAATGGATGTGAGACCTTCAACTGTAACATTCTTGAGGCCAGAGAGGAACCAATTTTGAGTATGCTGGAATGGATCATGAAGTATTTGATGAAAAGAATGCAAGAAAATAGGGACAAAGCTTTAAAGAAGTGGAATTTTCCCTTGTGCCCTAAGATTAAGCAGATCATTGATAAACAAATTGATAACTTGGTGGAATGTATTCCATTGAAATCTGATGACTTCAATTACCAGATTGACTGTGGCAATGGAGAGCAGTATAAAGTTGATATGAGGGCACACACTTGTGGGTGTAGAAAGTGGCAGCTAAGTGGAATTCCTTGCCTTCATGCACTAAGTGTTGTGCACCTGCAAGGTTGGGCAGTTGAAGATTTCACTCACTCATGCTACAAGGTTGACACTTACAAGAGAGTCTATGAACCGGCAATCATGCCTATCAATGGCAGGAAAGAGTGGGCTCCTACTGGTTTCATACCACCTCTGCCCCCTAATGAAGGTAGGACACCTGGAAGACCAAGTAGGGCTAGAAGAATGGAGCAAGATGAGCCCAAGACTAGGAAAAGGCCAAGAGGGAAGGTAAGGGTTCTGACCAAAGAGCAAACCATCAAAAGGCAACAAATGACTTGTAAGTGCTCATATTGCCATGTGGAAGGCCACAACAAGAAGGGGTGTCCAATATTGAAGGGTCTAAACCAAAACTCAAGTCAGACTGTGAATAACTCAAAGGTACTATGTTCACTTTATGGATTCTGAGGGCATTTAATGTAATAGCTAATCAGTTGTACTTCTCATTTGTCAATATATTTTACAGGTAACAAGAGAGGACAAAAGGGAACCAACTCCAACAATTGGAATATCAACTAAAGAAGCCTCACAGGTACTATGCATTCAGTTAATGTTCAATTTATGGATTCTGAGTGCATTTAATGTAATAGCTAGCTAATAAGTTGTACTTCTCATTTGTAAATAAATTTTGCAGATAACAAGAGAAGACAAAGGGGAACCTGCTCCAGCAATTGGAATATCAAGTAAAGAAGCCCCACAGGTAATATATATACAGTTGATGTTCAATTATGCATTCTAAGTGGGTTTTATGTATTGGTTTATGAATTTATAATCCATGTATACAGGTGACCTCTACAAGACCAATCTTGACTAATGTCAAGCATGCAAATAACCCTCAGAACCCAATCTTGAACCAATACAAGCAACCACCTACGGTTTTCCAACAATTCCAACAGACAATGCCAAGTAAAGGTGTCAACATTAGAGGACCAGCACCTATTGTTGCTGGCCATTTCATCCCTAGTCAAGAGAGTTGCATATCAGGGAGAGAAACAAGGATGAAGGAAATATTTGCAGAATGTGGCCAGAAGTATACTTCCATAAGCAGCTTAGTGGGTTGCAGCATGAATTTAGTAAAAGACAATCTCAAGAAGAAGAGAAAGGGCAATGGTCCAAACTGATTCTGTTGTTATGGCTGAATTTGTTGATCTGGATGGGTAGATAACTTTTGTTATTTTTGGTGCTTTTGGACTAGTGCAGTTGTTGGAATTGTTCAACAATATTTTTGGTGTTTTTGATGTACTTCAGTTGTTGGAGTTGTTGAACATGATTAGATCTATTTTGCTGCTTTTGGTGTATTGCATTAGTGGAAACTGTTGAACAGCATAAGGATGCTATTTTGTTTCTGTTGCTTTTGGTGGAATACAAATTTGTGGTAAGGTATATTCTGATTGGTTTGTAATTTATTTTAGTGTACAGGTTTGGTGGTTTTATCTGCCTAAATAAGTTCAGTTGAACTGTAAATCAGTATCACATTTACACAAATGGACAACATAATGGGCAGAACCACATTTACACAAAATAAGCTTGAATTGTACCACTTTTCACATGTTTTATAAAAGAAGCTTAAGCTGCTGTTACAGATCAACCAAAACAAGTGATACATTACATATCAATGCCAAAACACCAATTGAACACTAACATCAAATAAGCCATAGCTAATGCCAATACAGATTTTCACAACCTCATTACAACAACAATAAAACAGATCAACCAAGTGATACCAACAACAAATTCCAGACGTCTTATTTTCTTCATAGCAGATGATAAATGAGCATTGTTCAATTTCTTCAAGGACTGCAATTCTTCTTCAAGAACCATAATCTTCCTCTGAAGCTCCACCATTGATGTTTTATGCTCGTCAATCACAGAAAACTTCCGCTCCAATTCCAAGATTGAATCCGACGAAACTTGCGAGCGGGTGGTTGATGGATTTTCAGACCATTTGAAGAAATTGCACCCACCATCTCTCCAATTGATACAGCCGTGGAACTTCTTCCCGGGATTTAAGCTCGTCTTCGAAATGCGCAGTTGAGTTCTTTCCCCGCAATGGCATATGAAGTTGGATGGAGAAGATTGTGAGTGAGAAGAAGACGACATTGTCGTCGAGATTCGAGAGGAAAAAAATGGAAATTAGGTTAATAGGAGAGAGAAGACGATGGAAAGAGGGGAAATGAAGGGAAATGCCATATATGTGCCACGAAATTTTCCAGCGTGGAAAAAGTATACACGTCGTTCCGAATATCCGTCCACGTCATCTCCTAATCCCGGCCCACAGGATTAATGTACCAAAAGTGATGAAAAGTGCAACATAATGGACCAATTTTGATGAGGGACAAAATAGTGGACCAAAACTGGACAGTGGACAAGTTAACGGACCAAAAATGAATTTTTGCCATCTAAAATGAGAGTGGGACCAACATTATTGTCCAAAATAATTTTTGAAGAATCTGCTTTACCATTATTGCCGACATTACTTGGAAATCCGCACCAATCACGTGGCCAGGGAGTAAATGCGGAGCTGAGGGTAGAGAAAGCTGACCCTTCACACTTGAAATGTTGGCAATGGCGGTCATCTCCGGCTGAGATGAGAGAAGCTCCAATTTTGAATTTTTAATACTGATTTTCGGATTGTATGACCCGAACTCGGCCGACATCTCCGGCTGTGAAGAGATTGTCTGGCCCAAATCCTTTCCTTTTAGCTTAGAATTGGTCAAATCCTTTCCCGATTGCAGAGACGAAGAGTCTGCGACTAACGCCATTTCCGGTAAAATGACTTTCGACGACATTTCGTGAGACCCAAAACCGAGCGGCGGAACATATTTTGGAGCTGACCCGTTGTTATCCGGCACAAAATCGCCCAGATTTACAAAAGAGGATGCCTTCCCGGAGGAGACGGAGATGCCACCGGCAACAGGAAAAGCTTCTGCCGCTGCGCCGGATTTTTGATCCACAAGGGCCAGGACGGCTTTGCCAAAGTTTGGGTGACCTATTATGTTTATGAGGTCTGGGTTCGAAAATATGTTTGTAGGGGCGGAGGTGACTATCGGAGATGCGCTGGGTGAGGCCGTCGTTGTGGACAGGGATGTTGCAGGCAGATAGGCGGGCGCTGATGGGTTCGACGCCGGAGGGGTGGTCGGCGGCATAGCTACAGGGAAACGATGAACGAAAAGAGTGAAAATGGTAGAGAGAGAAAAGTAGAGAGAAGAGAGAGCATTTTGCTAGGTTAATTCGTATCTCTGTAGTTGCTAGGTTATATTTATCTGCTAGGTTACTTCTTTCTTGTTGCTAGGTTAGTTACTTGTAGTTTACTTCTTGTATTATGCATTATTTTTTCCTCCATACTTTCTTATAATTCTTCACTCTGTTTAATTTTATGTATAAACAGAGTTATAAATCCAAGATTGTCAGCAAGGTTATGTGCTTGGCGTCTGATGTGGTTGACGTAATAACCTTGCTTGAAGATGCACCCGCTGAAGTGACTGAAGATTTAAATTTTAAGAAGATTGAAGAAGCAACTGAAAATCTTATCACTTTCAGCCCTAATGTACCTCAATCTTCTCAGAGGAAAGATTCCTTTGAAGATAATAGTGAAGAAGCTGCTGCTTTCTGGAATGATCCAGAAATAATTGCATTTGTTGAGAAGGTTAAGGGTGCAATTGGGAAGAGGGCTGCATACTATAGGAAGCATCATAATGAAGGTTCCAGTTATTCATTGGGATTGGGGTTGTCCTCCCAGTCCCAAGAGAGTGACAGAGGAGGTTGGGAGGACGTTCTACAAATTTCAAGGCAACTTTCCCGAGCCCCAATCGGCAATGATGAACCAGTATCAGTTTCTCAAGATGCTGCATTTTCTAAACTAGTAGATGAAGAGGTGGCGAGACGGATGAAAGAGGAGAAGCAGAAGGAAGAAGAGAGAAAAATTAAAAAGAAAGAGGATAAAAAGAAAAAGAGGGAGGAGAAAAAGACCAAGAGAAATCTGAATATTGTTGCTATCCCCCAACCGTCTGCAGAAATTCCTGAAGATGCTCCTCTTGCAATTGTGTTCGAGTCGGTGAAGGAGACTCAAACTGCAAAGAAGAAAGAGTCAGAGAGCAGTGAGAGAGATAAAGTAGATAAAGAGAAGATGGAGATGCAGAAGAAAATTGATGAGAGAGAGGAGGAGAAAGAGAGGGAGCAGAGGGAGAAAGAACAGAAAGAGAAGAAGGGGAAAGAGAAGAAAGAGAGGGAAGAAAGAAAGAAGAAGGAGAAAGAGCTTAAAGAGAGGGAAGAGAGAGAGAGAAAAGAGGGAAGACAGAGAGAGGAAGGAGAAGGAGGAGAAAGAGAAGAAGGAGAGGGAGCAGAAAGAGAGGGAAGAGAGAGTGAGAGCTGAAAATGAGAAAGAAAAAGAGAAAGAGAAGCAGAAGGAGAAAGAGAGGGAAGAGAGGGAGAAGAAGGAGCAAGAAGAGAAATAAAAGCAGAAGGAGAAAGAGGAGAAAGAAAGGGAGAAGAAGGAGAAGGAGAAGAAAGAAAGAGAGGAGAACGAGAAGAAGGAGATGGAGCAAAAGGAGAGAGAGAGAAGGAGAAAGTGGAGAAAGAGAGGGAAATGAAAGGGAAGGAGGAGAAAGAAATAAAGGAGAAAGAGAAGAAGGAGGTGTAGAAGAAGAAGAGAGAGAAAGAGAAAGAGAAGAAGGAGAAGGAGGAGAAAGAGAAGAAGAGGGAGCAGCAGGAGAAAGAAATAAAGGAGAAAGAGGAGAACCAGAGCCAAAAGAAAGAGAAGATAGAGGAAGAGCAGAAAGGTCTAAAGAAAAGGAAAGGAAAAGAGAAGGAGAAAGTTGAACAGAAACAGCTCAACATTTTAAAAGCTAGTTCAATGGACAGAGAAGTTTATGATTGGATATTGGATGACAATGAGGAAACAAGGTAAATTATCATATTTAAGAATATTTTTTTTTTGTCATTTAGTTTCAGTTATTATTTACAATTTATAATTTATTGTTCTTTTTTATTTATGTCTTTTCAGGTTTGAGATAATTTTTCAGAATGGCGATGTGATTCTAATGAGAGATCAGATCATGTCTTTAAGACTGAATATCTATATCATTGTGTCTGTGCTGGATACCTGGTGCATGATATTGAATTTGGGAGAACTGAATAAAAAACCAGATATGCCATTGAGATTTTTTGTGTCCTCATATTCTAGTGTAAGTTTTCTTATTAAGTTGAATATTTTTTTATTTTGTTATTTTCTGTGCTTGAATATCTCTTTTGATAGTTGTTTAGTTAGTTGTTTTGTAGTTGCTAGGTTAGTTTTCTAATATTGCTAGGTTAGTTTTCTGATGTTTTGCTAGGTTTAGATGTCTGAAGTTGTGTCTAGCTGTTAGATTAGTTATATCTTGTAGCTAGGTTAGTTGTGTGGTGTTGCTAGGTTAGTTGTCTAATAATGGTAGGTTACTTGTTTCTTGTTGCTAGGTTAATTATCTGAAGCTACTAGGTTAGTTGTCTGCTGCTGCTAGGTTAGTTGCATAATATTGCTAGGTTAGTTCTATTTAGTTGTTGTGTTAGTAATATCTAGTTGCTATGTTAGTTGTTTATAGTTGCTGGTTTAGTTATATTTTCTTTATTATTTCATAACATATTTTTTTCATTTGTTTTCAGATGCAAAGCGTTTCAATGCCCAATGAGAAATGGGATGTTGAATAAAAAGCTCATTTATTCCGTGAAAGTATGTCTAATGATTTAAGAAAAGCAGGATTCGATGATAAACTTAAAGATATTGATATGGTAATTTTCTTTTTACATTGGTATTGATCAGTTTAATTATTTAGTAACATGCTAATATTATATAATTTTTGTTTTTTTTTGTCAGATTTTGTTCCCTGTGTGTAAGACGGAGCACTTATATGTGGTCTGTTTTGATTTTAAGGGAGATGTTATCAATATTTTGGACAATTTTTCTGTCTGTAGAACCTCGCTTGGAAAATACCAGTCTCAACATGTGCATCTGGTAATAATTTCTAATCTTTTTAAATTAATTTTAGAACATTGCATATATAGTTCAACATATTATATCATGCTCTTCTATCGGTTCAACTACGGATTGCTTCCAATATGTCTAGTCGCTCCTGAGGTAAACTAACTACAATTTTTGATGCATATATAGTTCAACATATTATATCATGCACTGTTAACACATTTCTAATAACTGTTTTTTTTTCTTTTTTTCAGAGAGATTTTCTTGTTGGATATTTGAGATCCAGACACCTCCCCCATTTGTCAGACGAGGTCTCAAGCATGAAGATAGCCAGAATTACTTTTCCTTGGAGAGATGCCAAAAACAAAGTTGACTGTGGGGTATTTGTCATGCGACATATGGAAACATATTATGGAGGAGGTTCTAAAAACTGGAACAGTGGTCTTATAAGGGACAAATCGGAGCAATTGAAGGAACTGTGCATTAAGTACTGCTCGGAAATTGTCCTTAATGATTTCAACGAGGTGAAAACAGAGAATCAGAAAAATATAGATGCATTTCAAGCCGAGAAGAATCCTGCAAATAAGAGGATAAAGATTGTGCATTTCCAAGAAAATTGATTTTGTATGTATGTAGTTGGATTTGATGGTACACTTTTGATGTAATACTTTTGATGTAAATATGATTTTTTTTTTTTAATTAAGATTTATCTTTTGTAAGTTTATGGATGGATATGATTTTTCATGCAATGTTAGTTTTATGGCTTTGCAAGGTTAATTGTCTAAATTGCAAGGTTACTATTCTCTTGTTGCTAGTTTAGTTGGTTCTAGCTGCAATGTTAGTTTTACAGTTTTCCAAGGTTAGTTTATTAGGTCTTTGCTAGGTTAGTTGTATTTAGTTGCTAAAGTAGTTGTGTCCAGGTGCTAGGTTAGTTATGTAAGGTTGCTAGGTAAGTAGTCTGTTGTTGCATGGTTAGATCTATGCGGTTGCAAGTTTATTTCAATCGTGTTGCTAGGTTAGATGTCCGATGTTGCTAGATTAGATATATTGTGTTGCAAGTTTATATATAATCTGTTGCAAGGTTATATATATTTAGGTTGTTGCAAGGTTAGTTGTCTGATGCTGCTATGTTAGGAGTCTGATGTTG